ATTTAATACTTTAAATAATTCATTGATTATTTTAATTGTTTCAAAAATATTTATTTCAATTACTATTTAAATATTCATTAATATTTATTTCAATAAACATATATTAATGAACAAATAAATTCTAAAATCTGAAAGGGGAAAAAAAAAAGGGCTGGCCGGCCCAACCGGCTGTGAACAGCCGGCTGCTTCCAGCCGGCCCAGTTATCTGGGTCGATTGGAAATAGCAGGACAACTGGGCCGGCTGGAAATATTTGACCCAGCTTTTTTCGTCCGTTTCATCTGAAATTTACACTCGAATTTTTTATTTTTTCCCTTTTTCAACAAAATAATGTTTAAATATTTATTTTACAGACACCTATAAATTTTTCCTGTAAAATATATGCATACAGAGATGAATTTTTTTTTTGTTTTTGCTATAAAAAAATTTTAAATCTGTGTTTAAATACTGTAAAATTCATCTGCCTTTCTCAAAATAATTATTTACAGATTCTAACAGTAAATTTAACTAAAACAAAATTCAAAATACGTATTTACACTTACCAATTTTCAGTGCCCACTGTGAGTATTGTTTATTTCTTGAACCTTTAATAATTTTGAGAGATTTCAATATTTTAGCAGATGGAAGGAAAAAATTCTTTTTTACTGTATTGGAGAAACTGATAACCAAAACTGATTTTGAAATTTACGTATGGAAGTAACAGAATTTATTTAAACTATTAAGGGTATTATTGTCTTTTAAACAATTGATATACTTTTATAATTATCAAACATGAATAAGGGTAGAATTGTCTTTTTAATGACAATAGGCCAATGTGGTGAATACAAAAAAAAAATGATCAAAGTGAAAAATTGATTATTTGACCAAGCCATTTTAAAAAGTACCCCACTAAAACATCAACTCAAATAGTCATTTTTAAAAGGGAGATAATCCAATTAAGTCCACAAGAATTGGGCAGAGAAGAAATCAAAAGCTACCCGCTTTTAGATTCCATTTTCTGGAGCATCTATTTCAAGAAATAGTTAATGATTTTCTTGGAATTTTTACTACAAATATGCTACATTTTTACGTAAATCAATCCATTAAACTCTTTCACAAATTTAATCAACTCTTTCAATGACAATTTATTAATAATTCTACGGAAGCAAGAAAATAGCATGATCTTATTATAATCTCGAAATTCGTAAGCTTTTTGTCATCACTCTGAATTTAATTTTATTTATTTATTTATTTGACGGTGTAGGCTTTCTTATGTGACGTGTATTTCTGTATAATACTGCCTTGTTCGCATCCTTTGCTCCCCACCTCAGACCCATCTGTCTTCTCACCTGATACCCTGTGTATATACTGATGAAATGATCAAAAATATGAGGTGGTTTTTTTTGTGGAACTTATCGTATGGTTCTTGAGGAATTTTTGGTATGTTTCTTGATTTCTCAAGAAACCCACAAGTTTTCACTCTTTTATCCACCGTTTTATTCATTGTGGTAAAATAAAATTATTGCTTAAGAATTTCTGATCTGGGTTTTACTTATTTTCATTTATTAGCATTTTTGCTTCTCTGTATAATTAGGTTGTTTTGATTTCTTGATAGAATGTGTTTGACTGGAACTGTTAATTTATCATGGAATTACTTTTTAATCCCTGTTTAATTTTGTTGGTGTGGTCAAAATATTAGGCTGGTAGTTAACTTTGTCCTCTTTTCCTTCTAAAAATAAGGATCTCAGTTCTATAGATCAGGTTCTTCTGCTACTGGCAATTTTCATTACTATTTCTGTCATTATTTAACTTTGTATTTCTCAGATTGAGGTATTGATCATAACCTTTTATTGAATTTTATTTATTTTTAATTGCTAACTGGAGATTTTTTATGGATCCTGCCATTTCACAGATTCTTACTAATAACGAGCTAATGAATTGCATTGATTTGGAAGTTTGTGAAAGATTCCTGAGAAACGAAAAAGTTTCATTAACACCTAG